GGCAGGCAGGCAGGCAGCATCGCCCTCCCACTGAAGAGCCAGGCCCTCCCCTCTTCCCTCTCCCCTTTCCTTTTGCATACAGGGGATCCAACCCAGGGCCGTTCTACTTCTGACCTGTATCCCAGCCCTTTTTGAGGTAGCGTCTTGCTAAGTTCCCCAACCTGGTCTTGAACTGTGATCTTCCTGCCTCAGCCTCCCAAGTAACTGGGATTAGAGGTGTGTGCCTCTGCACTGTCACTTGTCTTGTGCTTGTTATTCCCAGTGGACCTCTCCTCCAGCCCCTCAGCATGCTGTTCCTTGACTCAGGGCTTCCTTTGTGCTGTTCCCTCTGCCTGCTGTGCCCTTTCTCTGCTGTCTTTGGCTGCTTGGCTCCATTCTGCCTGAGTCCATCCTGCACCTTTCCTGTGAAGAACTCCCACCTGCACCATCACTGAAATCCAGGGAATTGCCCAGCCCTTTAGGGCTTGTGTCCTCTTGGCTCCATACCTGTTTCCCCCAGATTCTTGACATGGAGGCTGCCAGGTGGTAACTAGAGCCAGGAGCACTCATATGTCTGACGCAGTGATTCCGCACCAAGGCATCTATGGTGGGGGGAGTTTGTCCCCCGCAGGGCACATTTGAGAAGTCTGCTGTTCATGGTCCCTGGGGCCCCACTGGACTCCTCCCAGTAGCCATCAGAAAACAATTTCTCTTCACGCGTGCCACTGGGTCCCACACAGCAGTGCCGGGGACCGGCGGTGGCCACCCTCGGCTTGGGCGGAGTTGTCATCTACTCAGCCCAGCAGATCCAGGAAGCCCTGCTAAGCACCGGGAGCCATGCTGGACATGGGGGTGTAGGTTGCAGACAGCCATCCTCCTCCTCCTGGGCTTGGCCAAGGGGGAGTCTTGTATCTGGAAATCATCCAAGCCAAAGAAGCGATTCTCCTGGCAGTGGTCACCTGAAGGTGACACAGTGACCTACCTGCCTATTTCCCGCCCCGTACCTTTCTGGGTGTGTGTAATTGGCATGTGTTTGCTTTGCTCAGAGCTGCTGTCATTGCAAAGGGCAGCACCTCAACTAATTAGCTCAGATGGGACTCGTTTGAAGGTGCTCGGCTCAGCTCACAGACTGGGGGAGCGGCCACCCTGCCTCTGGAGGGCAGAGACCGTGGACAGGACACAGCTAGCCCGCTGCGGCCTCGCCTCCGCTCCACCCTCCCCAGCCGCTGGGACTTTTTCTCCCAGAGCGGCTTTCTCTGCCTGGTGGTGCGAGCGGCTGACAGGGTGCTGGGTGACCTGACCCTCCTAGAGTTTGAGGCAGAGGAAACGGACAGGTGCTCCTTCCCACCAGCTGCCCATGAAAAGAAAAGAGGCCTCACATCTGGTCACACTCGGGGCTTGTTCCCTCCCATCCTGGAATCTGGGAGAGGGGTGTCATGGATCAAGACAGCGGCCTTCTGTGTCCCCGTGGCTGTCCCGGGAGAGATCGATCCCACAGGGCTCTCCAGAGGAGGACAAGCCACCCGTGGGTGGCCGCTGAGAAGCAAGCAGTGACTCCCAGGAAAATGGTCTTTTATATCTGGTTTCTCACATTTGTAAGAATCATTATGTTCGTTTATCTGTGTGCATTGGTAGGTGCACACATGAGTAAGTTTATGTTGGGGTTCATACTCCTAATTGTTCGGGTGTTTGAGTTCCCTTCGTGTCTACACAGCAAGCTGCCAGTGGACTTGGTTATTTCAGACCCCTTGTTCAGAGGACTCTTCATTTGGTGAGGGGTTGCCTGAACATCTCTTGTATCTGCAGGTGGGAGGAGAAACCCGGAAGCTGAGGGGAGGCAAGATGCTCCTGGTGGTGCTGGGGGGCAGGTGTGACTTGGGTCAGGACTGAGGTTTTTCCCTGAGGTGTGTTGAGAGCGCTGCCTGGGGTCAGCAGCTGCCTCTAACTCTCCATCAGCACCTTCCAGCCTGGAACTTCTGTTCCCAGGGCCAGTTTGGGAGCAATGGCTGCAGCCTTTTGTGGAAGAAGGGCACTGAAGCTGGCTTTGGGAACAGTCAAGGGCCAGCTGCCGCCAGGAGAGTGTTTTCCACTATAAAGAAGAAGCCTTGGGAAGATGAGATTTGAAATTGGGTTTGGATTTTGAGTTAGTCTCTCCTTTTAAGTTATGCGGGGATGAACTCCTTTGATAATTCATATGAACATATTTTCAGAACATTCGATGGTGGAGGCTTCAGGAAGGACAGAATGACATGGTTCATGCCTCTCCTTGTCTTCAAGTAATTATGAAGGAAACTCACTTAGAAAGCCATCCCAGAGAACCCACAGATGTTCTCAGGAAATGTAATTGGCTGCTTTATCTATTTCTTTATTTTAAAAAGAAACTTTATCATCCCGATACCTGTTAACAAGTAAGATACAGTAGATCAGAAAGTACTTAGGACTGTGCAACCAACTATATTTGTGAGTTTGTATGTCAGTGTCTTCTTCATTGGATGTGGCTTTAATAATTGGACCTGCGTTTCTGCCATGCTTATGCAAACTTCCTGTACTGTTTGGTCTCTTGCAACTCTTTTTTTCCGCCGGTAAACTTAGGATAAGCAAACTGTAAGTTCCCATATGCACACCTCGCTTCTTCTGCACTGATTGTCATTGTCCTGGCTCATCATGTTAGAGGTCCCGAGACAATGCAGACACAAATTGTTACCGTTACAACAGTGCCTGCTCCTGTGACTTCAAGGCCCCCCTGTATTGTTACTCTCGGAGGAAGGGAGGCCTACAGACCTTCGGTAACTTGCCTGAGGTCACAGCTCTGAGTTCTGTGCTCACCCATGACTTTGGGAAGTTGCTGGACCTCCCAGAGCCTCGGTGCCCTCATCTATAAATGGGGGTCATAAGGGCCAGGGATTTAGCTCAGAGGTTTCGCCACCTGCTGCGCAAGTGCAAGGACCCGAGTTCGATCCCTGGTACCAAAAAAAAAAAAAGGGGAGGGGTCATTTCTGCCTCACGGCTCCATCACGTAAGGGCTCAGAGTGCTCGGTGGGGCCATCACAGAGGAAACACACTTTATTGCACTTTGGGTTTTCTTAAGCTATCCTTGGCTGTAAACTAGAGGTCTGCAGCCCCGGTCTACTTGGCTGCGCCATTTGCCATGGGGGCTGTTCTGAAGGCTGGCCTGCTGAGTTCCCACGAGTGGGTTTACCTCACGGCAGTTTGGTAAGCTGCACTGTTCACGTGTAACGGTGGAATAAGAAAGTTCCATCAAACAAGCAGAGAAATGGGTTTGCCAGGCTGTCAAAGTGGCCACAGAGATGCATGTGGGTCAGGTCTCTGGCTTTGATGGGACGTGGTTCAATTCAGCTCCTTAACCCTGAACAGACGCCTCCACATCTCTGGGGTCTCAGGTGTGTGCCCCGAATTGTGCTTACCTCCCAGGGTGGTACGGGGCTGAATGAGTCAGCAATGGCAGGGATTGGCTCAGGTATCTTTTCATGTGCCCCAACCTTGGGGTCACGTCCCAAGTGCTCTTGATTCCCAGCGGCCTTCCTTTATAGCAGTTGCCACAAAAGCCACCCCACCCCGCCTTCTGTCCTCTTGGTCAATGAGGATAAGGGTCTGTTGGTGCTTGGTGCCCTTCTGTCCCACTCAGGCTGCCTGTCCCGGGAGAGATGTGCTCCTGTGGGACTGGGGCGGGTGAGGGGAGCGCTGTCCTCAGGAGGCACTGGATGCTTTGTGCAGTGGCCCGGGTACCAGCAGCTGTGCCCCACAGATCTCTCCCATCTCTCCAAGGGAAGCCTGTCCTGAGCCCAGCCAGGGCCCCAGCCTTAGGAACTCCATCAGCCCTTCTGCCCAGTGTTGTGCCCTATTACTAAGGGTCACAGTTGATCTTTTTAGTTTTAAAAAATTTTTATTTATTTTTTTGGTACCAGGGATCGAACTCAGGACCTTGCGCTTGTCAGGCAGGTGCGGTGCCACTGAGCTACATTTGCGGCCCCTCAGTGGATCTTTTTAAATGGAAATCTGTAGGAAGGGCCTGGGCTGCCAGTGGTGTGAGCCACTTCCCATCATGCATTTCTGTCCTGCTATCCTTGGAACAGCGGCAGCCCAGGGGCTTCCAGTGCACATTAAGTGGATAGGAGCTGATCACATCTCTCCTTTTTTTTCTGCCTAAACTGGCTGTGTGCTGCTTTTAGATGTATCTGGGAGTACAGAAATTAAAAGCACAGACTTCCAGACCCTGCCCAGAGCTGTGGGCCCTCCCGGCTCAAGGTGGACTAAGGACAGCATGGTCCAGGCCCCACTGTGGGCTTCTCTTCCCAGCTCCACGGAATTCACAGTCTTCACTTTGGTGGCTTGAAATCTGCCGAGATGGCAGCATTTACACCACGGAAATTGGCAAACACTGCAGATCAAGCCCTAGAGACTGGTTATTGGACATTTACCAGTCCAGCCTGGACCAGAGCATCTGTATTTTTAAAATGCATCCACAGTAATCCTGAGGTGCAGCCAGGGCTGAGAACTGGTGGCCTGAGGTGTCCCAGAACAGCCACAGGAGATCCATGTTACCGACAGTAGCTAAATGTCCAGCACGAACATGTGATCAGTTGTTCATATGAATTAGGTCACCCAACCCTTACAACATCCCATCAAGGCACCGTTTTATCCTTTTTGGATGGAGAAATCGAGGTTTAGATGGGTTGCCTCTGCCTCATCCAAGGCCGCAGTCCCGCAGGGGGAAAGGCTGGGCTCCAGCCAAGGACTGAGCTCTGGGGACCAGAGTCTGGCTGGTGCTTCTTAGATGGCCATGGTCAGTGTCCCCCTGGCCCCAGCGGGTTGCATGCACAGTCATGCTCTTGTTCTGCAGGATGACCCCAAGTCCCAGTCTGGAACCTTCCAGGCAGTGTGCGCCTATGGGGGAGACAGTTATCACATGGTGGCAGTGGGCAGCCTCTACCCTCTGTGCCAGGAGAGAAACCCCGAGACTAACGGCCTTTTGCACTGACCTGTGCTTTCTTCCCTTCCAGTGGAACATGACAAAGAGTTCTTCCACCCACGCTACCACCATCGTGAGTTCCGGTTCGATTTATCCAAGATCCCGGAAGGGGAAGCTGTGACTGCAGCTGAGTTCCGGATCTATAAGGACTACATCCGGGAACGCTTTGATAATGAGACCTTCCGGATCAGCGTCTACCAGGTGCTCCAGGAGCACTTGGGCAGGTGGGTGTTATATTGGTGCTGGGGTGGGTACTGAGCTTCCTCCAGCTGCAGAGCAGGAAGGGGGTGATGGCCCCTGGCCAGAGTCAGACAGGACAGGGACAATCAGGGCAGCTTCTTCCATGGGACACCAACCACCTACAGGCCCTGGACAGGATATCTTTTTAGAAGAAAGTGTATGATGTATGTATGTCACTGTTTCTTAAAACTATGGCTGTCCACGAATCTGGGCAGGAATTGCAGGAGGCCAGGAGGCCTGGGGATCTGTGGCTCTGTTTGGGCATAAATGGGCAGGTCTCCATCTGGCCGTGTGCTCAGGAGCACGGAGGAGAGGGAAGAGGATGAGTGTGTTGATGATCTCTGAAGCCCCACATGGTGTCAGGCAGCCAGTGTAAGTGGCCAGGGCTAATAAAATGTTAGGGAGAAAAAAAACCCAAACCAACAAACCAAAACCAGACAGCCAGAGAACTCTCAGCCTTCCAAGAATCACTAGGTTGGGAACCAAAAGCTTGCACTGAATGACTTCAGTTTCTGGGGATCCTTGAATTTCAAGGTCTCGGGAGGCAAGAAGACTCAGGAAAAGGACAGGCACATCTGTCACCGTCCTCAGGTCCAGACGCCATGGTCCGGCTATTCCATGGCTTTCCTGTCCCCCCTGCCTGTGTGGCGGGACACAGGGGTTACGGAGGGAGGGGGTGTGGGCACTTCCCTCTGATGGTCTGTCCTCGCTCTTTAGCTAGGATGGGGACATGTCACCCGCGCAGGGCCGGGGGACCACCCCCCACTCTTGCGCAGCTTGCCTTGCCATCTGGGGATCGCCTCGGCTGCAAGGAGGATGACATTCTTGAGCACCTTTCCAGGTCTTGGGCCCATCCCCTCAATTCCTACTCACAGTGGCCTTCTGCGGTGACCCCTTTGGAAATGGGGAGATTTAAAAGTGACCCCCGAGGACCTGGCTCCAGGATTGGGAAGCTGACAAAAAGTTTTCCTGTCAAAAATTTGGTTTTTTAGCCATGTGTAGTGGCGCATGCCTGTCATCTGGCAAATACCTGGGAGACTGAGGCCCCAAGCCTGTGAGTTTGAAGCCAGCCTGGGTAGCTTAGGAGACCTGGCCTCAGAACATTAAAATGAGAAGAGCTGGGTACACGGCTCGGGGATAGAGTGCTTGCCCAGCTTGGGCAAGGCCCCGGGTTCTATGCCCAGGATTGGGAAAAACTGGCTTCGGGTGGGCAATACCTGCTCCTTGTGCAAGGTTAGAAGGAGAGAGTAGCTGCTGTGGGAATGAAGGCTCCTTCCGCAGCTGAGCCCTGGCCTCTCCCCAGGCAGCCCTTGCTCTGGGCTTCCTGGATTCCCTCAAGTTACCAAAAGCAGCTGTGTGTCTCTCTGTGTCCGCAAATGGAGCCCCACCCGCCATACGCTCTCCTGCTTGTGCCACCAGGTGCGTAACTTTGTGAGTGCCTCCCGGCCTTGTTCCTGTCCGCCCCACACGGTCCTGTCCTACGGGGTGTGCAGTGGCATATTTGCTACCGTGAGTGCATGCTGGTGTCTCGGTTCCGCTAGTGCAGATGGCACCGTGGGTAGCCTTGTGACTGGCCGTTTGGGTCCGTGTGACGTTCTGACCGAGGGTTGTGGGCCAGAGGGCGCACACTGGGTGGCTCTGGTGGGCATCGCTCCCCTGCTCCCTTAGGGGTTGACTCAACTCTCCTCCCTCAGCTGGAGAGGAGCCGCTTGTTCCCACTGCTCTTGCCGGGGGCTCTCACCAAACCATTTCGCTGGAGGAGTAACAGCAGGTGTCCCACTGTGGTCAGACTTCTGTTTTAGAGCCCTCACCCCAGCACTGCACTGCTTCCTTGCCCTAGAGGAGGGTGGTCCTGTTGGAGAGGAGGCTTCTGGGAAGGAGCCAAGGGCGGTGTGGGTGCGGGGCAGACAGCCTTGCTCAGGAAAGGCCCTCGGGCCCGGTTAGCCCACCAGGACTGTGTCCTGTCGCCAGCACAACTTCAAGAAGAGTCATCGAGCTCACTCTTGGGAGTTACAGGGGTTTGCTCTGCTCTGCACTCGACACACTCCCTAAGTACTTTTCCTCTGTAGTGCTGGGGTCCAGGTCAGGCCCCTGGCCTCCGGGAGGCCAGGCAAGCAAGCGCTCTACCACTGGGCCACACTCTCAGCCCCTGCCTCAGAGCTGTGAAACAGACGGTGTGTTGGATTTTGCTCACAGAGGCTCCTGTACTGGGGTGAAGCAGGCTCCCCAGGCTGTCAGCCCACAGCATTCAGAGGACCTGCTGCCCACACCCTGCCTGCAGCCGGGAACCTGTGCCTGCCCTCGGAGCCCAGTGGAGAGGCTTCACTTCCTGAGTGTGGCAGCTTCGAGTCTCACCCTACCCGAGGGGCTCCCTGGGGTCACCTGCTCACTTCTCGGTCCACCTCTCTGCGCAGCGTTCGCCCTCACAGCATCCCATAACGATTGGGCTCAAGGGGGCTCCTGGGACCCCCAGCTCCTCCTTCCCGAGCTGAACTTTCTTCCTGGCTGCCAGCCTTGGGGGCTGCTCTTCCCAGAGAGGCCGCCTGACCCCTGGCTCCCATCCCCCGGGCACAGCTGTTCTGCTCCCGCATGGGAAGGCACTGGACCCAGGCTCGGTGATCAGCAGTCCCGCCCGGGTCGTCTGCTCTCTTGGAGGTCAGGGTCACGGGCCCTGCCATTCATTTATTCAACCCCTGCGGAGCACCCTTAGAAGTCAGCCATGGGAGCAAACAAGGCAGATCATGAGAGGAGCAGGGGACTCCTCTAACATTTTGATGGAGGGCCATGTAAGGTTCCCAGGACCACCAGTAGGAAGGACCCCAAAAACTGGGTGGCTCAAAATGATAGGACTTCATGCTGTCAGAGTTCTGGAGGCTAGAGGTCCTGACTTAGGTGTCATTGGGACCCTGCTCCCTCTGAAACCTGTAGGAGTCCAGCTTCCAGTGGTGCTTGTGAATTCTTGGTGATCCTGGCTTAAACAAGGAGCAGCCTGGTCTCGGCCTCCATCATCACATGGTCCCCTCTGTTTCACCTGGGCTGTCCTGTGTGTCTCTTTCCTCTTTTCCTTCAGGGTTAGGCATCCACCCGTCTCCATTGTGATCCCATTTAATTACCTCTGCAGAGACCTAATAGGGCCACATTGATGGGGGCCAGGGCTTAGGACCTGAGTATAATTAGGAGGCACAATTCAACCTGTAGCAGAGTGGAGAAGACGGGAGATAAACAGGAAAACAAGCCGACAGGCTCATCTTGGGGACTGGCCGGAAAGGTAACGGGTGTGTTGGATTGCTGGTCTTTGGTAGTCTTGAAGAGTTGGGGACCTATGAATGACACGAAGGCTCTGGCAATAGAGGGCAGAGGGCAGAGTATTTCCGGAAAACTGTGGGGACCACGGGACTAAAATTGTGTGTAGGAAGGCGGGAGGGTCTCCTGACCTCATAGGCACTGGGTCCTGTCGCAGTCTGAAGTGGCCGCCTCCCTGGCCCTCCCCAAGATCCCTGGGGTGGATCCTGGGCCCTCAGGGGAGGGGAGAAGACCTGAGTGGCCTGTGGTGACAGCTCACTGTGAGTGGCCGCATCTCCAGCCTTGCCGTGCCAGGAGATCAAGTTCCTCATCAGCAAGTGCATGAGCACCTGCCAGGTGCCTGCACTGGGGCATCACCAGGGGGAGGGAAGCCCACGCCAGGCCCTGCCTTTGGGGAGCTCCCACCTGAACAGAGGAGATGATGCTCGGCCTCCCCAGGCCTGGCAGGCGGGAAGTGCTGAGCAGGGAGGGAGGGAGTCGAGTTGAGAGGCAGTGGACAAGGAGGAAGGGCTGCTTTCTCTGGATTTCTAAAGTTTTTTCCTTTGCCTGAGAGATGAAAACAATGCTCCTCATCTTTAGAAGCTGAGAGGTTAAAATTTCTGTAAAGAAGTGATTTATTCACTTTGTGGGCAGGTTATTTTGTTTTTGAATCTAGAATCTAGAATCTGCAGCTATTAAGAGTGTGGATTCAAATGTTGCCACCAGGTACCAGCACGGCACTGGGAAGCAATAACCCTGGAGCCTCAGTCTCCTTCTCTATAAAATGGGATAATAATTGCATCTCCCTCCCAGGTTTATGGTAAGAATGAAGGGAGTTAACGTATGCAGAACAGTGTCTGACACATAGTAAGTGCTCAGTAAAGGCTCTGTTGTAGCTGCTGCCTCCTCCTCCTCCTCACTGCAGGAAATAGCGAGTTATTCTTAGGAGAGTGGTGAGCTTCAGGCTTCTCTGTGTGCTTTGTGCCAGATCCCTTAATTTTGCAGTCCCCTGATGGGCACAGGGACAAAGGCCTGAGTTTGACAGTGGCTCTTCCTGTGCAGACACGGAGCGCTCCTTTGTGTTCCTCAGCCCCAGTGCATCTTCTTCCAGCTGGCTGAGGCCTCCAGGGAATGCAGGTGCTGTCCCCACTTCCTGCCACTGCCCTGGCCACATAGCCACCCTGATCCTGGTGCTAAGGGAGCCGGGGTCCTCCTGCCACAGCAGCCCAGCTGTGCAGGGCTGGGACATCTGGCTCCCTGGCAAGCTCTGCCTGAGCTCCGGGAAAGCCCCCGGGGGTGCCGAGGATTAGCTGGCTTTGGGGCGGCCTCAGTGTCTCTCCCCTGGTGGGAGTTGCTTTGCCTGGAGTCCTCTTGATCTCTCGGAATCCAGATTACATTCCGACGATGAGCTGCATTGGAGGGTTTCCACAGCCCTTGGGCCCTGCCCAAGCTCAGCCCCAGACAGCTGGAAAGAGGCGGAGGAGCTGCCCTGGACAGGCTGCAGGGTGAGCGGGTGCTCCGAGGTCTGGGGGTGGTGGTTGTGACCCTGGAGGCCCTCCGGGGGGCAGGGTGGCCAAGTGGTTGGTGAAGGTAGCTTCATTTTCTGGGGCAGAGGCTGGTCCTGCTGGGCCTGGCTTCCGGAAGCTGGATGGGCTGCCCCAGCCGAAGGGCAGGGTGTTTGGGGCAAGGTCGAAACAGCTAACCTCCATTCACGGACTGGGACCGGGGACCCCATCCTGTGTCCCGCCAGGTGCCCTTTGCACTGCTGTGCCCTCTTGGGGATGCGGCTGTGCACTTTGAGAGCTGGCCTTGGAGAAGCCCTGGAGGCCAGAGGCCAGCCCCCCAGTTGCCACCAAGGTGGAGATAATGTCGGCAGCTGGACGTGAAATGTCCCTTGCTCCATCTCAGGGACTTTGGCTGCCAGGAGAGTGACTTCAGAGTGGTCACCAGTGCCAAAACCAGATCAGCTGCAGCCTGAGTCACTCTAAGGGGAGGGGCTGCTCCCCGCCTGTGCCCCCAGGGGACAGAGGTTGGAGGAGGAGGAGGAGGCCAGGCACGGCTCTCAGCCCAGGCACGTGCTCCATCCTGCCCTGGGACCTGGGTGGAGAGCACTCTGCAGCTGCAGCTGCACCCTTGGGCCTCCCCAGTGCGCCTGGCTCCTGCTCCCCGCCTGGGGGAGGCGACGGGACCCCCTGGCTGGCGGCCGGCATCTCCTACCCTCCAGGAACGTGTACACCTGCTTACAGCCTGGCCCTCGCCTCCTTGGAAGCATCCTGTCCTCCCTTGGCCCTGTTTCTCCCTCCTGACCCTGGGAGCGATGGACATGAGCCCGGGATTCTGGGTGCGCAGGGCCTGAACCTCTGTCTTCCTGCCGAGCTGGCTGGAGACGCACTGATGGCCTCGGTGCTGACCAGGAGGGTTCCTGGCCTGGTGCAGGTGGAGCATTGCCGTCCCCAGGGAGCCAGTCATGGGACCCTCACCCTGCCCTGGCCCCCTGGGGATGTTCGGGTGGTGAGCACTAGTGCGCACAGGCTCAGGACTTGGTGACAAGACCTGGTGACAAGTCACCATGCCTGTGTTTGGGCGAGGGAACATGGTCACCCTGAGAGCACGTCCTCACCCCATGGGTCAAGGCTTCTCAGTTGGAGTGCTTACTTTTGGAAACGACCCTCCATAGACTTGTTATCTCCATGTTACAGGTCAGAGACCGTCTCAGAGATGGGAAGTAACTTACCTGAGGCCGCACAGCTAGGAAATGGCCAAGGTGGGTCTTGAGCCCGAGTCTCTCAGATTCCAGTGCTGGTGTGCCTAGTGATGGCAGCACCTGCCTTTCCTTAGCACTGCTTTCCTCGCCAGGGCTCAGGTGGTTCAGCTGAGGAGTTCTGAGCTGTGGCTCTCAACCTTGGCTGTATCGTCAACTCAGTTGATTAGAACCAAGGAACGCTCCCAACTCATGCAGGGTTGGGCTGGGCACTGGTACTTTTTAGAAGCTCCCTGATGGTCCCTGTGTGCTAGGCTATGTATGAGCAGGTGACAGAGATCTCTGTGAGTCCGAGTTGGAAGGGGGCAGATTTCTCCTTCAAGCCCCTGGTCCCTTGGTGTAGTTTCCCAGAGGAGACTGTTTTTCTTTCTACACCGTGGATCCCAAATTGTGATTCAGACTATGATTGTCAGTCTCGGTAGCACAAGAGAGGGACTGGCTGAGCGTGAGGATCCCTTTAGGTTCTGGCGGCGTCCAGAAGCTTCTGGACGCCTCCAGAGCCTTCTCATTGCTCCTGAAGGCTTACGTGCCTGGTTCCACATCTCCTGGCTTCCACCCCATGCCACTACACCTCAGCCCCAGGGTGTGAGCTCTGGTTTTGAGCTGCCTGCTCAGGATGTGCCACTCACTACCGAGGAGCCTCCTCAGAGGGCAAGGAGGGAGCACTGGTGGCCAAGGCCCAGTCAGGCATCAGAGAGGGTCCAGAAGGTCAGAAGGGAGTGTCCAGAGTTGCCAGGCCAAGGACCCATTGGCAGTTTTCTCTGGGCCCCAGTCCAAATTCCACCTTGGAGCTGCTTGGATGGGAGTGATGATCCCTCTGCGCCTCTTGGTTCCCTCAGGGTCCTTTCTGAGGTTTGCAAGGATCATTCTGGAAAAAGCCTGATTCAGTGCCACCCAGCTAGGCAGAGCCAGCAAGCCACTGTGTCCAATCCAACCCGTGCTGGAAATGCAGCAGCTTGCCCTGCTCAGCATCCTGGAGCTAAGCCTTCACTGGTTTCCTGTCCTGTGGTCTGAGGCCATCTGGTAGGCCTTGGTGGCTTTTTTGATCTTTGTGCCTTTTATTTCCCTCCATAATTCATCCTGTGCCTGGCGTCTCGGGGACAGTGTGGGTGGTGGTCGGGTATCGGTGTAACAGGCTCCGTCTGTTGAGTCCTGAGGTGGGTCCGACAGGGACTTGGCAGCTGCAGTGTCCAGTGCGAGGTGGTCAGTCCTGCTCCTTGTAAGGACTCCGTTTATGGTTGGGCAGGTTTGGCCAAGTTCACAATGCCTGGCCCTGCTTCCTCTTTTCTGTGACACATCTCTGTGCTGGGAGAAGAGGTGGCTGCCCTCGGGAACAGTAATGGTGACAAACTAATCACGTGCCGCTGCCACTTGTTAGGACTTTCCATAACTTGCCAGTGGAGATGCTTTTGTCCACCAATTCTACAGACAAGGAAACTGAGGCCCAGTGCCAGGTTAGGGATGAAGGACAAGTGGCTTGTGTTTTCCTTTCTCAGCTAGTAGATGTTCATTTTACTTTCTCCTTATGGTGGCCTATGCATTGGGAAATGGTGAGGAAAGTCCTGTGTTCCACACAAGGAAACCGAGGCAGGGAAGACCTGCTCAGCTTGGCCAGTAATGCGACATGAGAAGGTAAAGGCTTGGGTACCTGGCACTGCCTCTGGTTCCTCCACTTGAATCCACATAACCTTGGTGTCTCTCAGGCCCTGGCTGGGCCTCCTCTGGCTTCCTGGAGAAGGTCCGAGGCAAAGCTGCAGGACAGTGAGGGTGGCCCAGCTGTGGAGCCAGCGACAGTATGGCACGTGGGCAGGAGTTCCAGTTCCTGCTGTCTTTCATTATGCCTGTGGCCTGGCACACAGTAGGACTCAGTAACACATCTATTATACGAGCAGGTGAAAGAATGATCTGGTTTTTTGCTTTAGGACCAGGGCTTCCCAAGCCACAGACTGCACTGCCCCTTGCCTGGGGCACTGGGCTGGGAGAGGACGTGCACTATCAGGATGCTTCCGGCCAGCACCCTTACCTCGGGTGGTCCATCCCCACAAACACTTTGGCCTGCTTTCTCTCCGAGAACTGAAATGTGAGCCTGCTTGTTTGCAATCTCTCTCCAGCCTCTAAACTCAATTTTCAAACAGTGGAAATCACCCATAATTATACTGTTTTCAATCCTGTGCAAATTTCCCCGTGATGAGTTTAGTTGCATTAGTGAGAGCTGGTGGGCCAGTGGGCATCCTAGAGTCTGGCTTTCATGGGCAGCCAGGGAAGATGTCAGTGTGAACGCTTGGCCCAGGGTCCCGAGGCTGGAATGCATCTGGGGACGGTGGGCTTGGGGACCAGCACCATCTGGATAACGTGATCTGGCACTTTAATTCCGAAAACACTTCATGCTTGGATCAGAACCTCTACTCGCCTATAGCAGCCTATTTTCCAAATCTGTTAACATCTGTGTTTCATATCAGGGCCTGTAATTGCTTTAGCCTTTTTGCCAGGAGACAAAAAAGAGAATTAGTATTTTAAAATTTGATCATAAGCGGTCATCTATAGCTGGGAAGAAAAGTGCCTGCACAAATATGAATCCTGTAAGAATGGGGAACACAGGTGTACCAGGAAGATGATGTTTTAAAGAGGTCAGCTGTGATTCAGGAAAACATTTCAAGTTCAGGTCAGAAGTAGGCATCTAGGTAAATGCTCAAAGCTCTTCCAAACTTTGTTTTCCTTTGTCTTCCTACTGCTGCCCCCATCTGTGCCGTTTTCTTCTTTCTCAACAATGCCCATGGCTTTCCAGTTTGTCATTCTAAGAATGGAGGAAGCAAATGACACCCTGGCCTGCATTCCAGCATGCATACCACCACTTCCAATGGAAGCCAAGGCAGGCATTGCTAATGGATCACAGCACCCACATTCCCGCATACATGTCGCCACTCCTTGTGGGAGCCAAGGCAGACATTATTAATGGACCACAGCTCTCCTCTCTGCTATACCTGAACTTTTCCTGAATCCTGAGGCAAAGCTTCCCAAATGAGGCAGCCACTGCTTGTCATGTGAAGCACCATCCAGTGAGACCTGTTGGGTACTGGTCTTAGGTCAGGTTTGTCCAAGACTAGTCTGAGAATAGGATTGTGTGGGTGAAAGCGAGTGATTAGGAGATGTTTTCAGGAAAGGGCCAAAGAACATAGGGCAGTGGGACCAGGAAGGGAGGAGGCCAGATGAGTGCCAGTGCCACACAGAGCCCCCGGAGGGTGACGTTGGCTCAGTCTTCCTGCAGAAGGACCTGGAAATACAGTTGTAACTCTCACCCATTACGCCTCTGTCAGTTATCCTGTAAGGCAGTTGCTCCACTTGGGCACTGATGGCATTGGACCGTGCTCCAGTGGGGATGGTATGTGTGTGTTGTGAGGCATCGAGTGGCACCCCTGGCCTCCACCCACCAGATACTGGTGCCACCTCCCTGGACTCAGGTGTGAAGACAAAAGCAGGCAGACTTTGTTGTGTCCCCCGAGGGTGGGGGTAGAAAGGGCCCCGACGCAGGAGCACTGACGTGGACAGGATGTCAATTCTGGGAATGTTCACTTGGCCCTGGGAGCGAGACCTCTGGAGCCCTGGTGCCCAGATAGAAAGATCACGCTGTGCTACACTTTGGGACGACCCCCAGGTGATGCTGCTGGAGCCGCCACACTTGGCGTAGGAAGCCCCTCACTGAGCCTGACCTCCTTGCACCTTCCTGTTCTCTGGCTCTTGGCTACCCCCAGCTGCCTCCCAGGCCTCTGTCTGGGACAGCAGCGCCGATCTGGAGGGTGGGCAGAACCCCAGGAGCATGTCTCCAGGACTCTGCAGCACAAGGCACCTTTAGCAGCTGGCCTGGGTCCTGGCACCCCCCAGTACCTTCTGTGTGTGCACCGTATTCTCCCCTTTCCTCCTCCAGGGCCCCCTCTGGCCTAAGGGTGCTGCTGTCACAATGAGCCTGACACCCCTCCACCCTGCTTTAGGTGCTGTGACTGGCCTTTGCGTTTGAGAATCTTTAGCTTGGTAATCGCATCACTTTCCTGCCTGCAAAGCCCACTGCTAAGTTCATTTCCTTTCTGCGTTGTCTGCCTGCGGCACTGCACTTTTTGGTTTCTGGGTTTGGAATCTTAAAACAGCCTGTGGTTCTTTTTTGTTTTTTTAAAGGTTGGAGAGATGACGCAGCATGAAAACTGTTTGTGTTCGTGAAATGGCTGAGTTTACCTTGCTCTATTTTGGTCTGGAGCTGGAGGCTGGAGGAAATGGGGCAACCAGGGAAAGTCTCGAAAGATTTGCCCCCTCGATGCCGGACGATAGCAGCTGTCTGTCCGCAAGGGACTTCCCGGAGCAGTTTCAGAAGCTTTGCATGGGCCCCACAAAGCCTGTTTTGGGGGGGCTCCCAAGGTCTTGATCTTTCACTGTGAGTAGGTCTGATATGTGTGCAAGGACTGGCAATGTGGCTCAGCCCTTGTCCCTGAGTTTCTGTACGGCTCACATCCAGGTTGAATGCAATGATGGGAACTCCAGTTTTCTGGAAATTCTGGGGCCCAAACCCTGGAATCTTATGCAAGCATGAGCAAGAACTGGGTCCAGAAGTGAATTTGAGATCTGCTTTCTGCCCAGCTGCTGCCCCCTGCTTGTCTGAGTCACCTTGGTTTTTCCTGCCACGTGGGGAAGAGAGGTGGCCCTGAGGGTGACAACAGGAATCAGGAGAGGGGCAGGAAGCCCACAGATCCTGGGAGCTTCCAGCTGGGGGTCAGTGTGGGCAGTTTGACAGCCCTAAGCCCATAGCCAGGCCCGTGGAGGTGCTACAGGACTCAGCAGGTATGTGTGACCAGCCTGTGACCTGAGAGTGGGGTCCCCAGGGGGCTCAGGGCGAAAAAGGTGGGCCAGGTTCCCAGGGAACTGGGACACGTGCATTTCCGGAGTTACCTGCAAAATGCGAGACACATTCACTGTTCCTCCTCTAATCCTATAAACTTGGGGAAGTAAAACCGGCACAT